GCCTGCACCTTCTGCCAGCTCTGCCCAGCGGCAGCTTGGGGCGGCCTTGGGGCTTCACAGGGCGCGCACGGCCTGACGGGGCTAGCGCAGCGTCACTTGTACCTGCGCGTAGGGCCCTGGGCACGCAGCGCACTGCAGAGCTTGCTCTCAGCACCGGGTACCTGCGGGAGGGCAGTGCCCTGCGTCTCCTCTCTGAAGTGGTGCCCACTGCTTGGGCAGCGCATTTCCTATGGGCCCTCTCTTGAAATGGGGTTGTTTTAACAAATATCAAAGTGCTGCCTATAGAGCTAGATTGTTGAGGTGTCACTAAAGCAGAACAAGCTCCTAGGGAATGAAGAAAGCTATGAATGTGGTGCGCTTAACAGGTTTAAGTTACTTTGAATTAACTTGCCTGTAAGACAGCATTGGAACTGCAGTATCAATTGAAAAACTTTTTATCTCTACTTAAGTGTGTTTGATCTGGTCATATTGGCTGCTTAAAGTGTACTTAAACAGCCTGAACTGGCTGGGAGCTGTTAAGACTTCCTCTTCTGTCATTTCGCTTTTCTGCCTTGGTCTGTATTCCCACCCTCCAGCTTAACGCAGCTCAGTAATCTCCTGTTCTCCTTCACAGTTTGGCAAATGCCTTTGCTCTTTGCACTCAATCTTTGGCTATTGATCAGATCCCTGCATTAAATATTCCTATTTTTATCCATCAGTGTCCACTGCATAAATGGTACATCCTGTCACCGCAGCACTGGGAGCCCTGGCCAGCATCCTCATCCTGCTCCCCTTTCTGAGAGCTGAGGCATAAACTGAGGCTTGAAGGGCCTGGGCGACAACACAGGTAATCCTAAAATATCTTGAAAATATCCTGAGGATCTTTCTTTTAACACAACAGGCTTACCTCTTTGTTTTTACATAAATACTGAGATGATCGTAACTATGTATATTGATGCTTGCTTTTATTCTTCTTGCCCCATTAAAAAACAACTAAATGAACAAATCCTTAAAATTTGTAGCTGCTCAGTGACGCTGGGTGGCTTTTGCTTACCTGAGGCCAGCTGGAACTGCGCTCCTTTTGCTGTCTTTGCAAGTGCAGGGAGAGGGACTACATTTTAATAGAACAGAGCCATAGTTTTTGAGTGTATTAATATTTTTCTTTTCCACGCATGCAAGTGCAGGGAGAGGGACTACATTTCAATAGAACAGAGCCTGTGTTTTCTAATGTTTACACACCTATATACATATGTAGATTTGTATTTTAATGATAGATAATTTTCTAAACAGAAAACAGTCACAAATGAGCAGACTGTGTACCCTGATAGACACACAGGAAAGCAATGGTTGTTGGTCAAGGAGATTTAGGAGAGGAACTGACATTTGGTTTCCAAGTTTCTAAGAGAGCCGATAACTCACCTTTCTTCAGGGCTCCAAGGAAACTGCTTTATGTACCCGCCTGGAGTTTTTGTAGGATTTTTTTTTCTTAGAGGCTTTATTTCAAGCTCGCCTAAGACCCTAAACATCAATCCTGTTTGCAGCACGGATTTATTCTCTGCTGTGAAACTACAATCGATTGACATGAATAAATAATAAACATCAAATTTTCAATCGGAGATGCAGAAACAAAATGCTGTTGGGAGAAGTTTTATGCACTTCAGAGGCTTCTTCTAGCTAATTCCCTCCAGAGTCAATCCCTAACCCAATCCTGGTGCACAGCTCCTGAAGGCCATGTGGTAAATCTCCACGAAGTGAAGCAGAGGATGCTCTGGCACCTGTTTGCGGAAGCGTTACATAAAATGTCCTGCAAAATATTTTAGTATTTACCAGTCAGCTGAGAAGCTTGACCTGATTTAGACTTTATAGGTTATATAGCATTAAATTCATAGCAAGAGGAGGAAAAGAAAAAGACAAAGTAACATGAAAAAACACATTTTATTGCACTTAAGTTATAAGAAAATAAAATTTCTAAGTGAATCAAACCATAGACACAATCCCTTTAAAGGTTGTTTTCCTCCATCATGTCAGGTTGTTACATAACTAAAATTAACCAACTGGAATCTGATTGTTTTAAATCAGACTATAAATAAAACAAAAACAAAAAAGGAGGAAAAAAGATCGCCTAGGATACAGTGTTAAACCACTTTCACAGTTCAGCTTGAGTTGTGGCTCTTGGAGAATGAGGCAAACCATTTGACTCGTTCATTTTTCATTTCATTTGCATGTGATAACTTTACAAAAACTTAAGTTTTTGCTCTCTCAGTTCCTCCCAGCAATAACTGTAACAGTTGTTTCTTCTCAAATACTGTAAAGCACTAAGACTGACCAGCAACTTTATTTTCCTTTTTGTATTTTATAATATTTTTTTAAAATTTTGTCAGTTTTTTATGTATGTTCATTTCATTCACCACAGCCCTCACAAAGAAAAATTTCCCCACAGAACAGGCTTCAAGAGCTTTGTTCTAAGGAATGTGTTTTAATTTTTGCCCAGAAAAAAGAAAATAAGCTTTGCACACACACTCAATTCTTTATTTGCAGGCAAACTTCACTCTTAATTGTCTGAAACTCTTCCACTCTCAGCCTCTTAGAGGCACAGTTGGCTCAAGTTTCAGTGGCAAAAAGTCTTTTTCTGTAACCAAACTAGAGCAAATTTGGAATTCAGTCTGGGACTAAAACGTCACAGCAGAAAAAAAAATAAAAAAAAATATTTTGCTTTTCTTTCTTTCATTTAGCAGCATAAATAAGTTTGGCCACTGGGAATACAGTACAGGGGTGGGACAACAATCCCATAATTGAAGACCTACTTCTAGCACCAGCATTGCGAATTAAATCCATCTGAGGACTCTCAAAACCCAGGACAACTTGCCACCTCAGAGCAACTTATGTGTTGAAGAGTGTAGATGGAAGCAACAGGAAATAGATTAAACAGAGGCTAATACTGTGATTGACATTGGCAATGGTTGGCAAAAAAAAAAAAAAAAGGAAAAAAAAGAAAAAAGCTCTGATAAAACTGTACAAAACAATTCACAGTAATATTTTAGCTTTTCCACACCAGGAATGGACTTTTTTTTCTTTTCATTGCAGATGCTCTCTACGTTTTGCCAGTCGCAGAGGTTGGACGGGGCCACTGGAGGTCGGCTGCTCTGAGCGCCCGCACGGAGCGGGGCCGCTCGCAGGGCTGGCGCCCCGGGGTGCACGAGCGGCCCCGCAGCAGCGCGGGGGCAGCTTCGTGCCAGATCTTTGTGGTAAAATAACCTGGTAACAAGAATTTTTTTTTTTTTTTTAACCTCCGCATTGCTCAAGGAGCACTTGGAGGAAAAATAAAGAAATAATTGCACCTGGTTTCATTTAGAAAGTTGTATTTTTGCAAAGCTGCCCTGGTCAAAAGTGTAGCCTTTTTATGTGACCAGACAGCAAATGCCTCTCTTGTCAGTTACAGTTTGTCATCTTTGTCTTCTCCTTTGTAGTCTGTAGGTCTTTAGGATCTGTTGCCCCAAGCCAACATCCTGCACCACCAAGGATAAGGGATTTTTTTTTTTCCTTTTTCTTTTTTTTTCTTTTTTCTATTTTTTTTTTCTGTTTTTCAGGGGGAGGGAAAGGAGAACATCGTCTACACGTCTGGACAAATTCATCTTTCCGCCCTTCACTTCATATCCACGTCAAAGTCCAACACCAGCAGCTTTGTTTCCTCAGTCCCATTCCGGCTGCCGACGGCGCACACGAGCTTTGTGTTGGAAGCTCTGATCCGCCACACGACGCCTCCGCTCCCCCCGCTCTCCAATGTGACTAGATTTCGGATAAATTCACCCGTTTTCAAGTCCCAAAGTTTTACAGTTCCATCATCTGAGCTGGTAATTACAAAGTTCTTGTTGAACTGTAAACAGGTCACAGCACTCTGATGCTTGTTGGGACCTGTAACAGTAAAACCAAAACATCTTTGCTTGCAATCAGACAGCAATGACAGACAGCAATGCCTATAAAATTAATACCTCTGTATTTGCATGCAGGTGTTTTTATGTCCTGGGTGTATTAATCCAACTTTTGTGCATGTATTTTCAAAGAGTGAAGGTTAGTATAGAGAAATTCCCCAGTATTTTCTTCCTTGTTGCAGTGATCCTGTTTTGTAGCATGCAAACACTAAGGCAAGTGTTTGCTGGAAATCTGTGCCGGGGAACTGAACGGGGCAGAGAGGCGACTACAGAACTGGCTGTTGTATCCAAGCCCCTTGGAGGAGGCAATTAGGAGGTCACTCCTACCTCTTGATTACAGAAAGCGCTGTTGCTGCCATTAATTTCAGTTAGTAGCTGTAAATATTTAAGAGTACAAACAGCAGTCTGTTGTAGGGTGAAATTAATTCCAGGGATACTGGATATAAGTGAATGATAAGTGAATTTCTTAGCAAAAGAAAACTGCACTAATTTGCACATGCCTGAGTGGCAACTGTCAAAATGGAACTTGAAATCTTTCCTCCTTATGAAATAAAGGAAACGTCTTCCACTCATTTCTCTTGATTTATTGCAACAGACAGTGTACTTTGCCTCCCAATCCAATTAATCAGTAAGCTTTGAAACATTCAAGTGATTCCTAAATAAATAAGTTGACTGACTGTTTTGAGATGCCATTTCCTATGTATTTCTGTGGTTTATTAGACTAATATACCTGTGGCAAATTTCTATCAACCCAGACCATCTGCCTTTCATAATAGGCAAGTGATTTGAAGAGATTAAATTAAATACGTTTTGTTCTTCCGACTCGAGGAAAGATCATACGGTTGTCATCAGAAAAATGATATCTAAGTTGTAAATGGGCTGTGCTTGTTACTTTGTATGTAATTTGTAAAGGGTTTTGAATAGAACATGTAGCAGCTGGCTTTTATCTACATCAGAGAAGTTTAAACTCACCTTGCAATGTCTGTAAACATTGTCCTGTTT